TCCGAAGATTTTTTAAAGTATATTTTCGATAACTCAAGTGATCGGAAATTAAGAATAAAGAGAAAGGAGACTAATTTTCGAAAATTTACAATGTTGCTTATATTTGAGTACAAACTTGTTTTTATGATTTCAAATCTAAAGGAGTTAATTTTTGAGAAAATAATATTTTTAATAAAAATTATTAAACAAATTCATATTTAAAAAAAATCATTCTCCGTAAAATTTTACATGAAAAGTATGTTTTCAAAATATAGTATCTCTATTTATTATTACTATTGTTAAAACATTAATTTATACAGCCCAACATGTCAAAAAAACGATATTTATTGATAAAAAGAACTTTCATTTTGAACATTAAAGTATAGGTAATAATAAATCTACAATTGTTGTCTTCGAACTATTTTTCGACGTAACTTCAAACTTTTCGAATAGATTGGAAAAAAATTTCTCGATTGAGATTTTTTAAACATTAAACAAAAATTGGATATAAATAACACATCATTTTTGAGGATTAAAATATCAAATTAAATTCTTACTGTTCTTAAATGAACCACGGATGGGCCAAACTCAAGTTCAAAATGAACCTGTTTGTTTCTCTGCTCGTAACGGTGACTTTTTGCATAGATTAGCATGCCATTGTAGAAATGTTAATAAAAAGGTCAGAAATTACAAAGGGCGAATATTCGAATCGACAAATGCTTCAATCCCCCGAATTTACACAGTTATTCGCTAACTAAATGTGAATAAAAATCATCTCCACTTGTTGAATTGTACAATCACTTCTGACTCGTCGCAACAAAAATTTGTACTTTTTGTCGCGTGCGTGTTCATCTCGAAAATCAAACAAGACTATGAAGATTAAAAACAAGACGTTCAAACTGAATTGGTACCTATATTATAATTATTTACATGTTATTTACGTCCACTTTTTACGGGATATTAAAAAAAAAAAAAAAAAAAAAAAAAAAAAAAAAACTGGGTTTATCTCTAATGCCCATACAATTTGAGCCCCAAAAAAAGTTTCCAGTACCATAAGAAGCTTTGTAATTGAATTTCCGATAGGAGACATTTTCAGCGGTTTTTATTTTTTTTGTGCGAAAAGTTACGGACCGATTTTTTTTTCGCAATAGTGTGCGGAAAATGGGTGTTTTCCGCACTGGTATTAGTGTGGAAAATCGATTTTTCGACATAGTGTGCGGCAAAGGTTTTTGTGGCACAGTGTGCGGAAAAAGTTTTGCCACACACCGGAAAAAATTTTGCTACACACTGAAAATCAAAATTCATACCTATTTTGTACCTATTTTCCTCACACATTGCGAAAAAACTTGTACGCAACTCGTGCGGGTCGATTTCCCGCACTCGTGGCTGGTGACGGTAACTCTTGCTACGCACTCGTGTGCTCAACTGGTACTCGTTCCCGTCAACTCCGGCCACTCGTGTGAGTCAATCACTACTCGTGCGGGAAATCTTTTTTTTTTGCACTTGTTACGTAAACAACTATTATATTAAGCACTATTTTATACTTTTTTTTTCAATAAATTTTAACGCATTGTTATCTGTTATACGGATATTTTTGAATTTTTTCCCAAAGATTCCGTGAAAACTTTCTTTCCAAAATTATTCTCAGCTACTACTTGTACTATTTTTTACCTAGTTATCCCGTAAAGAAAGTGGGCGGGAGATTTTTTTCAGGGATAGACTATCTCACCCACACTAGAACTAGTGAACTCCTCCAACTCTACTTAGTTTATAATTGTTACACGTTTTGTAAATATTTAAATTGTCCGATATCTGTGAATTTCAGTTATATAACGTAAGACAAAATGTCAAGTTGTATAATCGCAGTCGATTTTCAACGACCTTTAAAAGATTACAAGAATTGTTTGGATTGTGTGGTGTGCGATAAAAAAATCTACTAAATCTTTGAATTTATGCATCAGATGATCAGGTGTATTGAGCAATTAGAAAAAAAATATGTCGAAAGCAGTGGGTTATAACTAAAAGAACTTCATTACAAACTCTAATATCGTCCGTACTTCGATAAATTTTTGGGTAATAGTTAATGCAAATTATTGACTTTTTTTTTAGTTATTAAACAAAGGGATTTTTAAATGATAAGAAAAGTATTTTAATGAAAAATCAGTGCATCGAAATGTGTAATTTCTCGGAAAATGATGCTTTTGTCATTCAAAATTAAAATACACCGGTTTTTCGATTTACTACTGAGACAATCCAAATGAATTGAAAATAAAAAAATGTTCATGCATTTCTGAATGTTTACACAACGATACTATTACTGTTCACCTCCTTTAAAGACAACTAGTAAAAATATTAAACTGATAAGTTGGTAAAAAAAGGATCGATAAAACCGTGAAAGGACTTGCTACCAGAGCGACTCGTCAAACAGTAAATGAAGTAAATGATCCTATTAGAATATCGAAAGAATTGTTTAATTGGACAATAGAATCACTTATCAATTACAACTCGCCACTGTTGTACAGATGATGAGTACGAAGAAAAAAAAAATTATCAAAGTGTTTTACAAAAGCTGTAACGATAAAAGAAATTTTAGAAGTAAGTATTATCACTTTGTAATTTCCCTAATATCTTAGCATTAATTTAAAGCAAAGATATTTTCACAGTATGAGAAAAAAACTGTTGTACAAATCTTTAAGTGAAACATATGACAATTACATGATATATATAGTTTGACTGAACCTGAATTACATGATACACAATTGTAATTCTGTATTAATAATAATAAGTAACGAAACCAAATTAATTTTTTTACCTGACAAAATGTTTTATCATTTATCGTTTATTTATATTTTTTTCATGGTATTGATTACTACTCAATATTGTTAGTTAAGAAAAACATAATAATTGTTACTGTTAAAAAAAGGAAGGACATGAGGCAAAAATTGTTGCCAATAAATTGAAAAAAGGCTGTTAAACATTTCTTTGAATTTATTCAAGAAATTTGAGATCACGTCAAAAATAGTTGAGATTAAGTCACAAACTACATCTTTTTATTTTACGTTCTTACAACTTTAATGTTCAACTTTTTAAAATCCGAGATATAGTTTTCTTGTTATAAACAAAAAAAATTTTTCCGCCCTCGGGTGGTTTTGGGAGGCTGGTATTTCCTCGGGCAAAAAAGCAGTTTTCCGGAACTCGTTCGAAAAGTCTCCTTTACGAACCTCGTTACGTCCCTCGCCTTCGGCTCGGGCCGCAAACGTCTCGGTTCGCAAACAGAGACTTTTCAAACTCGTAGGAAAACTACTATTTTTTGTCATGTCAGACAATATAAATTAATATTTTAACAATAGTAATAATAAGGTACGATATCATGAATATATGAGAGGATATTATAAAAATTTTCAAAACTTGCTACAAGGTGAAGGCCATTTAGAAAAACTGGTTCAAACAAATTGTTAATCATATTATGAATTTGTTAATAATTTTTTTTTTTAATTCATCTTTTAGCTATAAAATGAAAGAAAAAGTAAAAAACTCGCTATTCTCAAGTTTTCGATCACTTGTACTGTAGAGAAAAAAAAAAAAAAAAAGAATAAATCCTCGCTCACGTATCTCTTATTTTTCTATATAAAACCGGTGAAAAGTTTCAGCCAAATTAATAGGTAACAATGAAAAAAAATTTACGATTAAGTACAGGGTCGAATGACAATATGAATTTTTTTTCTGTGGAAAATTTTATTCTTCGTTCCCAACGGTAACGCATGCATACGTATACAGCAGATGTTCTCGTAACATGTTGATGTGAATTACAAATTTTGCGTTCACTCTTTGTATTAATACTTTTTATTTTTGATGACGTACAATTTTCTTTTCCTCTTTACACGATTTTTCCTTCTATATGGTCAGTAACTTTACATTCGAGCAGTTAAAAAAAAGTCTAATCAACAAACAAGGAATACTTGTAAAATTAAGTATATATAGATATTTTTTGTATTGTAAAAAAATTTATTACAAATGTTATTGCTCGTTTGGCTTGAATGCAGCAAATCGGATCACCTAATACTATATAAATAACACTTGTGAAAACTTTTATTGAATATTTCACTTACTTAATCCATTTTTAAATAAACCTAATTCCGTTAGCAATATGATTAAGTCTATGACTACAAACGAAAGTGTTTTTTGTCATATATATTAGCATTACTCTATTTGGCCGATGTAACGCGAGGTTTTCTTATGCTCTACAATGTTTTTGTTCTTCTGTTAAATCAATCAAAAATTTAGCATGTGTATACGGAAGTGAAAATTACATTTGGCATAGTTTTATTATCTCATTGCGTACAACTTTCAATTTTAAACTTTGAAAAATTATGTATAAGTATCTTGAGGACGAGGTCACTCGATAGTACGTATTTATACTGTGTATCTACTCTACAATTATAATTTGTCAGTTGTTGTAATAAATGACGTCATATTATAACAGTGCACAATAATTTTTGCAATTTTGCATTTTTAACTAAATATACCATAATTTATACCATGATTTATACATACATGAGGAGAACAAAATTAAAACGGTGCACATGTATAAGGTAATTGGATTAAATAATAACTAGATAAATAAATAAAAATCGTAAATACATAATAATGATAAAATGTACGCGTACAGTGTTATATGTAGAAAAACGCTCCTGTATCCATAATATATTCCTCTATATTCGCATGACACACAGAAAAAATTTCTCTACTTACTATAAATACCTCATCTAAAAGCCAACAATAAATGCAAAAAAAAAAAGAAAGAAACGGTGTATTAGATTATGAAGAAAAGAATAAAACTTAATTTTACCAATACTCGTCCTATAAGTAATGCGGAAAAATCTTTTACTCATCACGTAACCGTCAATGATGAAAAAACAAAAAATATTTCCTTTCGCAATGATGACAAGTCAAAAAATAATAGAAATATGTTTATTTATGAAACATCTATGCATAATAAAATACTTATAAATTTTATAAATTATTCGCACTTTAGCGAATCTTAAATACAAGCGTTTACACGTATGTATATATAAACACTATCCGTGCCAAAGATGTCGGTACCATATATATAATATATATTATTCGCTCTCAGTCGTACACTTTAATATCAAAAAGACATCAAAAATGAATCCTCAGCCATAAATATAAAGTACACATCAACTTATATACAGTCGGCTTTTTATTCAATACTCTCTTTGTGTACCTGTAAATATGATTGGCAGTCTCTTTTTGTCATAAAAAAAAAAATTCAATACTGCCTCATTTCGTTTCTCTTCCTCTATTTTTGCTCTCTTTCATTATTATCTCATCCGACGTGCGTATGTGACGTAAACTTATACATCCTGTTTCTCAAAAAATGTAACTTGGCCATCGTATGATCACCTGTGATGTAATAAACAGTTTATGGGGTGGATCGACGATATTTCAGTGTCAATCATGTTTCATCATGTACAAACTTAATGGTCGTACACGAAAAATAGCGAGTTCACTTTGAAAAACAAAGCGATAAATTTACCATTATTAAATTCGTTAATCATGTAGATGGCAGTAAAGATGGCTTTTTTGTTCCTCAAAATTTATATAAAAGACATTGATTTATCGTGAGATGGATGAGGTGCCTACAAATAGGTCAGCCTGAACGATTGCTTTTACAGCGTATAGGGGCTATTTTAGAAATCAGCCTAGTATACAGGGAGAAAAAAAGTCGCCACCTCCTCGAACAGCAAAACGGTGTCATGAAAATGGAAGAGCTGCAATAACGAGAGGACAGGACAAATGATCGTTCGCCAAGTGACTTAGACACTTTCGGTGGGGCTCTGGAACTCAGAGAGCGCGTGGATTGGATTCTGGACCTTTTTCTGCGAGCCCTTGCGCACTTTGGCACGAACCTCCTCTGGTCGCTCCGGTCGCACGAGTGGCTTCTTCTCGGGCGCCTTCATCTTCCACACGACAATCGGGGACTGCAATTACACATAGGAAAAAGGTGCCATTAGTTTTTGTACCCTGTAATTAGATGAAATAGAAATTGTCTTCAACAGATACACTAATACACTTTATTTCCGTGTCTAATACAAAAACGCGATGAATTCTAGCTTTTTACGCATGTGTTTGATCAAATGTTATTGAAGAGCAAAGGGCTTGTGTTGAGTTGTACACGGCGTTTTATTTTATTTTTTCCGCGAATCGACTTTATGCCCTCAAATTGATAAAAGAACTAGCTCTAATACAATATTGTAGGTAAAGAATTGTCAAGTCATACTTACATACTGCATAATCCAAAAGGCAATTAAGCAAGCAATGACAAAATCATTTATTAGCCAAGATATACAATTGATGTTACATGAGTATGATTATTCAGTTATTTGATAAAAATACATCACAATAGTTCATAAGCAAAGCATCAACAAAGGCAGTCAAAATCAGAAATCGTTTGTGCGTGTTGTCATATAATTTATATTACAATGTTTCACTTAATTCAATCGTAAAGCTGTAGTCTACTAATTTATTAACTTTCCTAATAAGTGCTTAAATTAAACACACTAGCAAATAATTAAACCGTCCGATATAATAGCCTACTTGGGAGGCTGAAAATTTTTCAAAAAGTGGCTGGTTCACTATAAATCCTAATTGACTAGCGACCTAGCAAACACAGACTATACAATTACTTGTAAAACACAGACTATGATTATACAATCACTTTGAAAGAAATCTTGTGGTGGATTTCCTTGGACCCTTCAGCTATTTATAAGACTACTTTAAGACTTATGTGTTTGCTGGGTTACTGTTGTTGAAAATTTGGCCACTCGATACAAAAATTCATCAGCATCCCAAGATATGTTGGTAGAAAAAACTCGCGTGTCAAAAAGCATTGGCAAAAGCAAGGTGAAAAAAAAATTATTTCACTAAAGCAGTGATTTTGAAATCTAAATCAGCCTGACTAACTGACTGACGTGTTGTATAATGAACGCGAGTATTGTGCTTTGTATATAAGCACGTCATTGGCAGCACACACAGGCTTTAAACAAATCAATCGTCATTATCACTTTGGTGCAGAAATAACGCCTTTATGCCAGTGTTACGGAATAAGTAATAGATAAGTTGTATGATACGGGTAAGCAGAGCAGGATCGGCTCACGAGGCCAATGCTTATCACTCCCATTGTCGTCAATGGTCTAGAAACATCGAAGCGAGCCCAATGAGTGGTTTATTCGTTTGAGGAAGAAAGTATTATTTTTTATCTTTAGTCTTTGGAATTTTAAAGAAAATACTTTAAATGTATTTGATATTTCAGACAAGATTTTTAAAAATATCCATCAAATACGCGCAACGAGGGACAATATAGCTCAACAAAACCAATAAGGGAATTAACGACTTTCGTTTTCGTATACTACCAAGCAACGTACCATTGAAGCCCAATTAAGCCAATGTCTAACGAATTCAAGAAACTAAGTAACCGAAAACCTCCGAAAACCCCAAGAGAAGAGAGAGAAAGAGAGAAAAAAAGAAAACTTACCGCAACAGTGGATTGTCTGGGGTATTTGGTGCTGGCGACATAAGACGCCTTGACGGTGAGCACGACTGCGTTCATGAGATTCTTGGCCGCCTGTATGAGCGAGGTGGCACTGTCCAGTCCGGAAACGATGAGCTCACCACTGATGTTCTGCACGTCGGCCTTGACTTTGCTGGTGATGTTCATCTGGTGGCAGTAGAGCGCGATTCGTTGTAGGTAGGCGAGTAAATCCTTCTTGGTCGAGCTCTCGGGACACTGGTCGGCGATCTGTCTCGTGAGCTTGTCGAGTTTCGTCCCGTACTCGGAAATCTTCTTGGCAGCGTTGATCACGTCCATGGTGGTTTTGAGCGGACCACGGCCGCGCGTAAAGTCCGTCATCTCCATCATGATCATGCACATGTGCTTTGCGAGAACTATGATGTCATTGCCCGCGTCGTCCCACTTGGCCACCTCGCGGTCGAATTTCAGTTTCTCGCTCTTAAAGAACTCGACCTGCTGTAAGATCTTTTGCTTGTCTTCCTCGGTCATCTTGCGCATGGCCTCACGGGCCGTCGTGATACCACTTATCTCCGGGTACTCGTCGACTCCGTGCTCGCCCGTCTGGGCGCTGGATTTGCTGCGCGTCTCAAGCGTGTAGTGCTCGTCCAGCTCCACATCCTCCGGATCTAGATCTTCATCCGCCTGTAGAAAAAGTAAACCAAGACAACACTTCGTCTCATCCACTTAGGTTGATGTTGATAAAAAATACATTTAAAGAGCTTTATACTCACCCTGTTCATGAGCACAGCCCGTCTGATTTCCCTGACGCCATCGTAAACCAGCCTGGAGGCGTCGATAAAGTCGTTCTCGTCGACATCCTTGGGTGGACTGCTGCCTAGCGCGTCGACCGCAACTTCGACTCTCTGCGCAAACTTCGGCATGACCTGCTCCTTGAGCACTTTAACAGCCTCGAGCACCCTCTTAGTGTAAATGCACGGCTCGTAATTGTCCATCTCGGCATTGACGACGTTGCAAACCCTCGCGGATCTACCTCTGATCGCTCCAGCGGTACGGTCGAGGGCGTCGGCGTCACCCTCCTGCAGCGCCAGCACGCACTTGTTCACGTCCTCGAGTATGTGGTTCTCCGACACGGCCAGGAAGTCGTCGATCGTCGTTATGTCGTCCACGGCCTCTGTCAAGACGCGCACCTGGTTCTCCCAAGCCTGTCGGAAGACCTCCATGTTGTCCTGGGCTACCTTGGAGCGCGGCCGCGCCGCGAGGACCCGAGCTGCGTTAATCACTTGCGGGCAGAGGTTTTCGATCTGGGCAGCGGCATAGCGTACCATTTTCACGCCGTCCTCGTTGCCCGACATGCTGCACACCAGATTTGCTACCTGCGAATTGTGTTAATACATAATCATAGATTGAGGCTCGAGATGGCGCACATTTTTTCATGAAAACTTACCTCGACCAACTTATTAGCGTGCTCGGTGAATACTTGGGCGTAGTCCTCGACTTGTTTGTCTTGGCCGTTGCGAGCAGCCTCGATGAGGACTAGCAAGGGCACGCTAGTCTCCAGGAAACTGTCGGACACGTGATCGACGACGGCCTTGCGCAACTGCCTCCGTAGGTCTCTGGTCTTGCGGCACATGTGGTCGATGGCTCGCTCCAGGCCTTCTGACTGTTCTTTTACTCCGATCTGCATCAAGTGTGAAATTTAGTAAATTACATATACTTGCGAATAAAAAATTAACTGAGATAGGTACACTCAACACTCTGGGATTAGATTGTCTGGTACGAAAGTTTTGGTCGATTGTTTTCTTTCTATTGGACTAGCAGTTACTTGTTAGAATTAGAATCGTTGTGTGATTATGTACAAGTGTTTCTCTTCATGTTGTAATTTTTTTTTTTTTTTTTAACATTTTAGGTGAAATGTTACTAGCCGTATGTGGTATTGATATTAAATATATCATCTAATTGATGGTGTGATGTAGTAGATTGAATCGAAATACGTGGAAGGCGAGTATTTTTTATGTACCTACAACGTAAACATCATTTACGATTGGTATAAACATAAACCGCACGTGTTTGTAGCGGCTGTAAAAAGTTGGTATGAGTTAGCAAGACTTTGGGAGCTATTGTTTAGGGTTGTCAGATTAGTCGGGTGAAATTACTTTAAGCGGTACAAGGAAGGGGGTGAACACAAACGTCACAGTCGATAGGCAAATTTTTTATGAATGACCTGAACAAAATATTATTTGTAAAAATAAAGTTTTAATGCAAACATCATTTTACAATAGAGAAAAAAAAGGTACAATGACTAGATACTTTTCAATAGAGATAGTTTTAAGTAAAATTTACATATTGCCCATGACAGATGGGGATCGATTTTCAAAAGCTACAGTTTGAAGCAAGAAATGGCAAAGATTTATATCGAGCACGAAAACTGGTAATGCAAGGAACATACAGGGTTATCTTGAATATTTACCCTTTTACCAACACGAGCCAGTTGCAACTGCCCTCATCAAAACATAAATAAATCATAATTTCATGTCAGTAAGAATAATAAATGGGAAGTATACTGTAAAATAATTGTGTAAATTTTGCAAAAAAACTTATTGTAAAACATAAGACTAGTTTTTAGAAAAATACTGGATGGATCGTATTTTTGAAAAGTTTGATTATTTTCATAAAAGAACTTGACATTTTGCTTATAGTTAAGATAAAGAGTTAAATAATTGGTATCAATTTTAATAATAATGATTGAACAAAATATGTTTATCACACGTAAAAAATGCATAAAAAAATGTATCAACATAGCAAGTACAGTAAAATTATTATTCATTATTATTGAAAACTAATGATTCTACGCTACGTATTCCAGAAAACGTGAATACATTGTAAATAGTAATCAACAGAACCATCGGCGGCGTTGAACCTACTTGTGAAAAGCATAACTGCATCTACCTCTGACTTAAACCTTTACGTTTATTCAACCTTCACGACCAATAGAATCACCTCTAAACGCTATCTCGAAAGTGGGGGTAATAGAAAAAAGGCCAAACTTACGTTGTTCATGTACTCGCTGAGCAAATCTTGGAGCGCTTGGCGTACGGCATTGCACTCGGCAACGATACGCTCTCGGCGCTCATCACGCGTGCACGACGAGTCGGCCATAAGAGCTGCACCGCTGATGATACTCTCGAGACGTTCCTCAAGACTGGGGCGAGTGCGAACTTCGTTGTAGGCCAGCGGTGACATGACCATTCGCTCATCGAAATCATCTAGAGCAGCTGCCAACTCGCCCGGACCGTCGTACGGGTGTTGGTTCTCTCCTGGCATCTTGCCCTGAGCTACATCATTTATTGTGTGCACTGCTTCGCATACCTGGAGGACAAACGATAACATGATACATGACGCATCAGAGTAGTCCTCGACTGCGCAAGGGCATATACCCACCAAAGTCCATTAAAAGAGTTAAACTTTTGACGGGAATAGTAATTTTAGTTTTTGAGAGAAAAAAAATCCAAAAAACTAAGAAATACCTGTTTCAGCACGTAATCCCGATTAGCTTTGGCAGCAGCAAGCTCAGGGTGTCGCACATACACCTTTGACGCAGTCAACAACATGGTAGAGTGCTTTTTAAGAACAGCTCGAGCAGCAGCCAAATCGTCACGGAGCTGGGGATCCTTTAATTCTTGTTGGCGCTTAGCTGCCTGATTGATCAACTCGGACGCGTTTCTGCCGAATTGCTTGATGTTTTCCAAAAGCTCGCTCTGAGAAGAGGCATTTTTCAACTTGTCGAGGTCACCTTGCACAACATTGAGGGACTTTAGGAGCAGATGGACGTCGACCATGTCGGCGAGTATGAGCAAACGCGTCACGGCTGAGAGAAGATTCCTGGCTGCACGAACCATATTACCCCTTTTGAGAGATGAGCATGGATCCTCAGAGAATTCTCTAAAGTAATAAATTTGAATTACCAGATACAAGAGGATGAAATAGATTTGTTTAGTGAATTGGGACTTCACGTTACCTGGCTGCAATACTCATAGCAGAACCGGTTTTCCTGACTTCGTCGACGGCACTCAACATCTCAGCAGTGATGTCGGGATTCTCATAGGCTATCTGCTCTCCTCTTTCGATGAAGTTGATCGTCGCCTTCTCCACTGCAGCTACCAGAGCACTGGCTCTCTTGGATTTGCCTTTCTTCTTCTTGCTAGGGCCTTTCGTGTTGACAAGCGTTGTCACTTGAAGCACGAGTGGCTCCAATGTCTTCTCCACCGACATGGTGCGTATCTCCAAGTTCTTGGGATCCCATTTCAGGGTTATTGTCCCAAAGTGATCCGACATTTTTTAATCTGTCACTTGTTCTTCTGCTGAAATCGTATAGTTATTCTCTTAATAAAACGCAAGAAAAAATACTCAAGCATCAAATAATACGGTTAAATATTCAAATTCATTCAACGTCCAGTGGATAACAACGTCTTAATTGTGTTAGTACACAAAAACACTGAAATGACAACGAAAGTCGAACTTAAATTACCCTTTAAATACGTATGTACGTAAATGCAAATCAATTTAACATCACTTGTTCGAACTTCCGCACAACTAAAGTAAATAAAAGTTACAAATCTGACTCAACAACACTTCCGATTCTCGACTTTAATTCGCACTGTTTACTCATATACTATGAGTCAAGTATGCGTGAGAAAACGGAGCAGGACGTAAGTGGAGTGCAATTTAGTCAACTATTGGAAATTTTTTTTGCCATGATCAAAAGGAAACTTAATATTTAAAGATACAAGCCCAGAGAAGGGAGGAAAGGACGCGTTCTCGTCTTCTCCGGTGGAGAGAGGCGCGTGAGTCACATCACTATACTCCACGCATGACTTCACTCCCTTAACTCTTTTATATACCTATATAGGTACTCCAAAGCCCAGATATTTACACTATCCACACCCTACTTTTCTTTCTTTCTTGAGCGTGCATTATAGCACAATCACATTTTAGGCATACTTAACTTCTTGATGATAAAAAAAAAATAAGCAATAAAAAATTGTTGAGTATGATTTTAATCAGGGCGATTACTTGGGACTCTGACAGGCTAAGAGAGCGAACTCATGCCAGGAATACCTGCCATTCTTACTTCATTTACCCTATACCATCTGCCATGCATTACAGATTACAGCCCAATGCAAGTACACACGCAACTAAATGCTTCAAGTTTTAATTGCTAATCGTACCTTCATGTAACAATCAACGAAACACAGAATCAAACGGACGCTCGATGTTTCTCTCCCCTCGGCTTTGCCTTTGATTATTCACACTGCTAGTGCTGATGTATACTTATAATTTTACGCACTAGTTAATTTGCTGCAATGCACTCTGCAGAGTATCTTGTGATTTTTTTTTGCTGGGCGTTGTGTGTCTCTTCTGCTAACGTGCTAATCTCTGCTATACTCTGCAGTGGCCTCAGTTGCACTTTTATTATCAACAAATCAATCTACTTACACGCTTCCACAGTTCTATACACCTTACGGCTTTACCTTACGCACTGGGTAGGTACAATACATTTTAACAGTATATGAGCAGCCGAGAGCAGGTAAGGCACATAACTATATAGATATACAGCTAGGATGCAGGTATTATCATTATAAAAGTGAAACGAAGGGGGTAAATCGTAAATGTAACATGCGAACAATACCTATATATAATAAGTGTAATAGGGGAAAGGAGGTTTTTCATTCAGGAACGGTCACGATCTAGCGATGTGAATCGATGACAAGTGGGTTTTCTCCTATATCTTCTGCTGGTAAGTACATATTATCTCTACACTAGAAAATCTATATANCTCGTAACGCTTATTTAGTCCCTTATTTATCCTCTTACCCAACGTTGTAATTGATACCCTTTTTGGTAGAATGGTCCATATATTATACTTACACTTGACGACTGTGCCTCTGCGGCGCTGCATCATCACATCTGCAGCAGCTGCTTTTGCTACAAGGCTTGAACTGAAACTAGAGAACCACGGCGGTTGTTACAATACTTATAGTTTATAGAAAGGGAAAAAGATGTTTACTTGACAATTTTTTTTTTTCTTTCACAATCTAGATACAATTGATGTCAGTTTTTAGGGAATGGATTACTATATACTTACAGTAATCGATTATCGACTTCAAGTGCTTAAGGTTTTCGTCTACATTGAAATCAGTAAATTTTTTAATATTTCTTTTATGTATGCATGTTCAGTGTATATTCTACAGCTTTGTACATTGTTTTTAACACATTATTACAATAACTAGATGACAAACGTAAAGCTGAGACATTTTTGGAACTCATACAATTATAAAAAGCTTGTATTTTTTTAGAATAAAATTATTAACAGTCATATTTACTATCCATACATTATAACTGCATTTCAAAATTTTTTTTTTCTTTTTTAT